GCCTCCCTCCACCACAGGACCTCGGCCCAGGTCCTGGTAGCGACTTGGGGGTCCCCTACTCCCCAGATACATACCCCTAGCAAAGCAGGCCAGGAGAACCCACCCACACTGCACATCTGAGAAAGCCTTTTCTTCTCACCTCCCACCCCCATAAAGCCCTCCCCCCAACATCCTAAAATAGGAACTTCTTCACCCCTCCCTTCCTTGACACCAGGAGCCGTGCTGCTGTGACTCAGACTGGGTTTGGAGCCGCCCCAGGAAGGGCTGGCGCTTGGTTTGGCTTCGGTGAAATCCATGAAAATCCGCTAAAGGCCATCGTTGGCTGCCTCCCCCAGAATGGGGTGGTTCTGTGCAGAGACCCGACTGCGACTCTGGGGCTTGCCACACAGCCTGCTCCGTGCAGTCAGATGCTGTCTAATGAGGCAAAACGTAGCCAGTACCAGCTATCGCCAGGCAAAACTCGGGTCCATAGTGCAGCTAAATCCTCTGGAAAACACAGTGCCAAATATTTACAGAGTGGACCAAGGTTGGAGAGGTTCAGCCACCTGCCCAGAGACACACTGTGAGTGAGGGTGGGAGCTGGGAGGCTGTGGCAACCACATTCTTCCTGCATGTCCTGCTCAGAGAACCAGAGAACCTACATGTAGGGAGCAAGATGCCCTCACTCAAAGAGGACCCAGCACACTGTGGCCCCTGGTGCCTGTTCTGCCATCGGAGCCAGAGGCCACTGCAAACCTGTCCAGCCCTTTTGGCTACTGGCTGGATAACTGCCCGATGCGGGGGGTGGGGGGGGTGCCTAGTGAGAGAGCTTCAGAAAGAACCAAACCGTCAGTTTGTGTGTGGAGAGCTGGGGCCATGGTTTGATTTCTGGATGTTAGGCTGATTCCATGGTGATGCCCCTGTATTGTTGGTACCCCTTGAGAGTGGAAAGTGGCCTGGTGCAGGAGAAGCGAGTGAAGAGGAGGACCAGGAGGGGCCCTCGCTGCTTGCCCCCTTGCCCTCTGCTCGTGCTCCTTCCTTTCAACCTGCTCTCTGCTGTCTGCAGGGGAAATCTAGCCTTGAAAGAAAGAAACAAGTGTCCTGTTCTTTTCCTCCATCCATCCGTAATGGTGTCCTGATGGCAAGAACCAGCAAAATGACAGCCATGGGTGCTACCTGGAGCCTGTGGTACCCCTCACCTCTTTTCACAGAGGGCAACAGTGCTCCTTTTCAGGGATTGCCAAGGTAGGGGGACAGCTCCTAACCAAGGTCCATCTGGCCCACTTCTGCCAATCAAGCCCTTCTCTCCAGTGTCAGGGCCAGGGACACAGGTACTCTAACCATAACCTTTGGCTGTGGAGCAGATGACCTCTTCAGGTCTGTCCAGGTGACCCAAGCTCTGCCACGCTTTCAGTCACCACCGCTAAGAGCTGTGACCGTGCTGTGCCTGTGGTTTGCAAGCCAGGTCTCTCCCTAGAACTGGGTGTTGTGGCAGGCGGTGACTGATTCAAAGTATTCTCTTCAGGAGCCAAGACACCCTTTCTGGTCTGACCTCTTCATCTCCATCCCCTCTTCTTGCCCCTTTCTCTCCACTACCTGGAAGAAGGAGTTAAAACCCAGGGCCAAGGTACAGCTTAGCAGCTCACACTGGGAGCAGGTTGGTGCCTGTAAAGTGCTTTTCATGAGTGACTTCACACATCTTGGCACTTATAGCAGCATAGGCTACACGGGAAAGAAGGGGGGGCGCAGGAGTTGAACCCTAAAGGCAAATGCATCTCCTACATATTGCCAGTGAAGGCCTTGAGGTGCAGTATCTTATCGAAATCAGATCTTTCGTCCTTTTGCCCTTTCCACCATTCAGCAAAGTCAGTTTTGAAAGCACTTTGCCTTAGAGGTTTTTTTTAAAAAAGCCCTAGCCATTTCTGCAGCTTCTAGAAGTGAGGTGGGGTGAGTGTGACATACCTCTCCCTTTGTGCCTCAGTGTTCCCTTCATTTTGCTTCTCAGGGAACCCCAGGGTGGCAGTAGGTGATGGTGATGTTTCTTCAGTGACTGGCAAAGCTTTGCCAAGGGTATTCCTGACGGATCATTGGCTGCTCTTGTTTGTCACCCTGGGGAAGTGCTAGGCAGGGCTGCTTTTCATTGGCCCTTTCCCCTCTGTTCCCTCTTTGGCCAGGCACCCAAAGAGTTAAGTCTTTTAGCTTGTTGCAATGAAATTATGGTTGGCAGTGGCGCCACTGTTTGTTCAACAGACCTCCACTTTTAAACAGTTCACAAAAAGTTCATGGGGCAGCTAGAGATTGTGTGTGGGGGGGGGTATGCAGTGGGATCCGGTAGTGCGCCCCACTTTGCTTTGCATTCATCCTCAGCCCCCTCCTTCCCAAACTACACAGAGATGACACTGAAATGCACCCTGATCTCAACCCTCGGTCTGACCCTGTGCATGTGAGAATACTTAGTGCCGATGGCTACTGTCGTTTATCTGTGGGGCCTTAATATTGAAAACCCTGAAGGATGGAGCCCTGGAGAAGAGCGACCACGCAGGGGTCCCGGGCACCTCCAGGTTACCTTGCCCTGGCCTCCAGTCCAGGCTACGTTCTCTGAAGAAAACCTCTTTCCAGGGAGGGGGCCACTGGCCTTTTAGGGGAAGGGGTCAGGCACCCTGTGGGCTGCTGCTGCTGCTGCTGTTGATGATTCTGTTCCTCAGTAAGGTGCCCTAAGTCCCCTTCCCCAGCCTGGCTGCTCAGGGAGGTGTGGAGGAGCCAGCTCGTTTACTTGCTGTATTTGGTTTTTTGAGTCTCTCTATGTAGCTTAGGCTGGCCTCGAACCTCGCAGCAATCCTCCTGCCTCAGCCTCCCAAGCACTGGGATTACAGGTGTGCGCCATGGTACCTGGTGAGGCAGCTTGTTTTAAAGGACACCACAAGGTTGACTTTTCTTAGGTATATGCTTCTCCCTTCATCCTTTCCTTGAAACTTGATTGAACAACCCCTTTGCTTCCGATGGAATGTCTGCATTTCATCAGTGTGTGCTGAGGGGATGGCATGGTGCAGTTCCACCACCACAGCCTGGTGACCAGGACAACACTGGCACCAAGGAATGTTGCATCACTTTCTTTTTCTATTAGGCCACCCAGGATGTCTTCCTTTTGTTGGCAGAATGGGCGGCGGTGGCTGGGAAGGGGACACACCGTGGAATGTGCCTTGTGGTCTGCCTAGCACTGATGGTGTGGCCTTCCCCACTTGCTTTGTATGTCTGCATGATGGGAAAAAGCCCATGACACCCCCCCCCCAGCCTTCCCTGACACTGAGTCCGTCTTTTGGGGGGATTGTGGCCAGCATCTTGGAAAGGCCCAGTCTGTCTGAAGAAAGAGACGCTTCCTAGGGAAATAGCTTCCCTGGAGCCCACCCTGCCTGATGCCTCTGCAGATTTCTGCCTCTTCCTCAGCTTTATTGTCGAGCTCTAACTATGCGTGGTGTGTCGGTATGTGTGGATTTTGATTAACAGACATTGTTCTATGGATGGGGGCTGGTGGGGGATGCTGGTGGACAAAAGACCTAGTTCGGGACAAAGACACAAGGAAGGGTAGCCTGTCTTTTGGATTCAATCCTGGGGTGCTCCCCCACCCCCACCCCCAGTCACTGTGGCAGAAGAGTCCCCAGACCTGGTTCTTCCAACCAACCGACCTGGCAGTCTGTTCCTCCGTGTGCTAAAGTGTAAAAGCAAGCATTTGCATATTTTCTCCTGCTAACAAAGGAAATGTGTCGACTTAGGGAACATTTGGGCTTTCGGAAACTGTGTGGGTGTGTGTGTGAGGGAGGAGAAAGAAAAGTTCCCCTGATGATCTGCACACCAATTATTTCACACTCAGGTTTGGGTCCAGTGGAAAACTGCCGTGGCTGGTCCTGGACAAGGGAAACTGAGATGTGTTTGTGAGCAGGGAATTGCCTAGGGCCATCGGTCCCAGGCATTAAAGGCTCCCCTACTTATTAACCCAGCATTTAACAGCAGGATATGGGCTGAAGCGCAGTCAAAAGAAACGGCTCAACCTCCAAAGAGCAATTAAAATCCTGCACGAGGATAAATCACGCGCCGTGATAATCCTGTTAATAAAATGCAGCTTGTCCTGACCCTTCACTCATGCAGCAAACTAGAATGTGATGTGGGTGGGGGTGGTGGGCAGAGAAGGTAAGGGGGGAGGTGATGTGGGCTCCTCTGCCTTGGCAGCCTCCCCTTCCTAGGAGGTGGAAAATGGGTGGCTTTTCCCAGCTCCCCATGTGCCAACGGTCGGAGCCCATCAGCCTGGGCTGCAAAGACTTGTGCGCTTGCTAATGATTTCTTGTCCCCAGCGAACAAGCGTCATTGAATTACTCAGCCTCCTCCCTCTGCAGCTCTCAGGCAAAACCACCCAGGCAAAACCACCCGGGTTAGGTGCTTAATCTAATCTAGGGCTTTCGGGTGGGGCAGCTCAGCTGCCCACCGACTCTTTCACCCCCAATCTGTAAGTTGCACACACAACAGCTTTGGAAATTCAGCCCTTAGAAACGAACTGGAGCTCCATCTTCAAACACCTCACTGTCATTCCTTCCACTTTCAGCCCCCAGGAAGCATCAGTGTGCCAGTGCCACCTCCGGCCAGTGGGCCCTAGAGCTAGTGCTGTAGTTCCTCCTCGAGTAAAGGCTTCCTTCTATTGTAGCAAGTGGCAAGAATGATTTTTTTTCCCTTGACCACCACACGCTTTTGTAGGCCGAGAAAGGGGACCAGCTAGTGCAAGGATGTGTACGGTGCCTGGGATGGGGCCACATGTTTCCCTGCTCCCCTCTCCCACTTCCTCCTGCCAGGGAAGCTGCACCCCCCTCCAGTGTCCGCTTGGGTCAGGTGGGTCCTTAGCTTGTGGACACCTGTAGACCATCAAGCACAGCCTGCATCCTGTATGAACTGCCTCAAAAGAAGCCTTCTCTAATTCCATGTTTGTCTCTCCTTTACTCAACCTCTGGGGATTTTGTTTTTCTTTTTTTAAACAGACTAGACGCTTGAAGCAAAGCTGCCATCCAAGAAGACGACATGCTTTCAGCAACCCCCCTGTATGGGAACGTTCACAGCTGGATGAACAGCGAGAGGGTCCGCATGTGTGGGACAAGTGAAGACAGGTGAATGTGGCCCCCCGCACCAGGCCTGGGGAGGGAGAGTTGGTCACCTTCCCTGAGCTCTGAGTGGAGCCATGCCGAATCCCTCTTCACCTCTTCACAGCCAGAGGAGACCCAAAAGGGCTGGGGGGGAGAGATCTCCTGCCTAGCTGGCAGCCGTTGATTTACAGTTTTAACAGGCAACGCGTCTCAGCGAAAAGCATTGCCGCCCTTTAAAAGATTAGCCCCTAAAGCAGCCTTTCAGTGCACTTTCGTCCTTAATTTATTATTTCATATTTATGAAGGAGAATTAATCCCAGTCTATATGCTGCTTTAACTCTAAATGTCAGGAGTGTGGGCCCAGGTGGATCGGCATTCCATGTGCTTTTAAAACAAATAGTTTCCTCAGTAATAAAGGAGGAGAGATGGCCACCCTTGCCTGGAGCGGAGCCCCGGGTTTCGGATTACCCTCTGTCCCCCCCCCCCCGGGGGGTGCGTTGCCCCCTGGCTCTAGTTGCCCAGCAGCTTTGTTATGCCGCCTAATCAGTCATTATGGAATGGGGTAGAGGCAGCTAAGCAGTAGGTGATTGAAGCTGTTCTTTGGGGTAATGATGAAACTTTTCCTCTGCTGCTCGTGAATGATTTTATCTTGGGGATTTGAAAGTTGGCACCAAGCACTTTCTTTATCAATGCTTTCTGATAACAAGTCCCAGGGCAGCCTAAGCAGCCTGGCAAAGATGTGTGGCTTTCTCTTCAGCCCGGAGCAGCTGACATTTGTATGATGCTAGTGTGTATCTCCCCATCATTTCAATAAAGGCAGTCAAATGTGACTTCATTATCATCATGGAAAGCAGTTTCATAGGACCTTGTCCCTAATTTTGTTTTGGGAAAAGTTTTTTAAAAGCTTGCTCTGGGGCCCTGGTATGGTGGTTTATGCCTGTAATCCCAGCACTTGGGAGGCTGAGGCAGGAAAATCACCATGAGTTCAAGGCCAGCGTGCGCTACATACACAGCTGGTGGAGGGTGCCAGCGTGAGTCTCCACCCTCCCAGCCCCGACCCTCATCCTTGGCCTTTCTCAAGAAAAAGGTCATGTGGGAGAAATGGTTGTGCTTAATTTCAGGTTTGCCCACCTTAGGGTTATATTTGTGATTCATGCCCCCATACATGAAAGGTCCTGTCTATCTTGTTTGTTTTTCTGGGGGGCGTTGAGTCACATTTTTGGGGCAACTTTCAAAATAGATCATGGGGATAGGATTAAGAACATGTAGAAAAAAAGGGTTGGTAGAAACTGGTCTGGTTTGGGGAGATCTACGAAAGGAGAAAGGGTTGTTCTCATGAAGTTGGTGTGTCCTTTTAAATAGGAAAATTCCTGTAAATGATGGTGACGCTTCAAAAGCCAGACTGGAACTGAGGGAAGAGAATCCCTTGAACCACAACGTGGTAAGAGATTAATGACTTCTGTGGAGGTGATACCAGAGTATCAGTGATCTGTAATCAATTGTGCGTTAATTTGCATACCATTAAGGGGCTCAGGAGGGGGCTCAAGACACAGCTGAGCCAAAAGCCTCTGGCACAGGACAGGGCCCCACCCAGGCGCTTCTGGTGTGTTCATTTTGATATGCTCCATCCCATAATGGATCCTCATCCCCAGCTGACTGCTGGGATGTGTACTGCCTTATCTTGGATGAGCTACATGCCACATCACTGCTCCTAGCTGGGTACACTTCCAGCCTCCACATAGCCCCTTGGGGGGCCAGGGGTTTAGCTTAGTGGTTCCGCTGCCTGCCTCGAAAGAGAAAGGCCCTGAGTTCGATCCCTGGTACCAAAAACAAAAAAACATAGCCCCTTAGGGTTTACCATTCCAGTAAAACATGAAACACAGGCTGTCTCTTCGGGCACCAGGGACAGGAAGTCAAAAGACGCAAATGCAGTTTGACCCCTGGCCTCTATTGATTTAGAAATGAGACAGCTAAAGTTCTGCATTCCGGTTGTCCCACTGAAGACTGTTTCTTGTCCTATTAAATGATGCCTTCCTACATCCTCCAGGACAAACAAAGTGAACACCTACCTACTCCATGAATCCTAACAGGGCTCAGAGGCTTAGTGTGAACCCTGTGTGGCCCATGACGGGGTGTGGAGAATATTGCAATTGGTGTCTCCTCAGTTGTAGCAAAGAATTTTTGCTGAAAAGATAAATTTTCCAGAGTTCATAGATGGCTGGATTAATGTTCAGGCCTCCAATCCAAAGGGATCAACATTTTACTTGCTTCCAGATAACCAATTGAGCAGGGGCAAGAAGGCAGGCTGCAGAGGGGTTTGGCTAAAGCAGGAGGGGGCAGTCCTCTGATGCTAAGGCAGGTGGCATGTGACCTAGTTGGCTGCTGTTTCTGGGGCTTCTGCTGCTGCTTTGACGAGTGTCCCAAGTAACACAAGTGTTGTCATTCTCCAAAGGTGGACTCAAGTACCGCCCATCGCATTGATGGCCTGGCATCACTGAGCATGGACCGCACGGGCCTCATCCGGGAAGGGATCCGGGTCCCGGGAAACATCGTCTATTCCAGCTTGTGTGGACTGGGCTCAGAGAAAAGCCGGGAGGCTGCCACGAGCACTCTTGGTGGCCTTGGCTTCTCTTCTGAAAGAAACCCAGAGATGCAGTTCAAACCGACTACACCTGAGACAGTGGAGGCTTCTGCTGTCTCTGGAAAACCCCCAAATGGCTTTAGTGCTATATACAAAACACCGCCTGGAATACAAAAAAGTGCTGTGGCCACAGCTGAAACCCTGGGCTTGGACAGGGCTGCCGGCGACAAACAGAGCCCTCTCAACATCAATGGTGCTAGTTACCTGCGGCTGCCCTGGGTCAATCCTTACATGGAAGGGGCTACGCCAGCCATCTATCCTTTCCTTGACTCGCCAAATAAGTATTCACTGAACATGTACAAGGCCTTGCTACCTCAGCAGTCCTACAGCTTGGCCCAGCCACTGTATTCTCCAGTCTGCACCAACGGGGAACGCTTCCTCTACTTGCCGCCCCCTCACTACGTCAGTCCCCACATCCCATCTTCCCTGGCTTCGCCCATGAGGCTCTCTACGCCTTCAGCCTCCCCAGCCATCCCACCTCTTGTCCATTGCGCAGACAAAAGCCTCCCATGGAAGATGGGCGTCAGCCCTGGGAACCCGGTTGACTCCCACACCTACCCCCACATCCAGAACAGTAAACAGCCTAGAGTGCCCTCCGCCAAGGCAGTCTCCAGTGGCCTACCCGGGGACACAGCTCTCTTGTTGCCCCCCTCTCCTCGGCCCTCGCCCCGCGTGCACCTTCCCACCCAGCCCACCGCAGACACCTACTCAGAGTTCCACAAGCACTATGCCCGGATCTCCACTTCCCCCTCCGTCACGCTGTCCAAGCCATACATGACGGTCAGCAGCGAGTTCCCGGTGGCCAGGCTGTCCAATGGCAAGTATTCCAAAGGTGCAGAAGCAGGAGAAAGTGCCCCACCAGTGCCCGGGCATCCCCGGAAGGCAACAGTTCAAGACAGAAAAGATGGGGGTTCGCCGCCTCTGTTGGAGAAGCAGACTGTTACCAAAGATGTCACAGATAAGCCACTAGACTTGTCTTCTAAAGTGGTGGATGTAGATGCTTCCAAAGCTGACCACATGACAAAGATGGCTCCCACCGTCCTGGTTCACGGCAGGGCTGGCAGTAGCTTAGTGCTCTCTGGAAGTGAGATTCCGAAAGAAACATTGTCTCCTCCGGGAAATGGCTGTGCTATCTATAGATCTGAAATCATTAGCACTGCTCCCTCGTCCTGGGTGGTGCCTGGGCCAAGTCCCAACGAAGAGAACAATGGCAAAAGCATGTCACTGAAGAACAAGGCGCTGGACTGGGCCATACCTCAGCAGCGGAGTTCCTCATGTCCCCGCATGGGTGGCACAGATGCTGTGATCACTAACATTTCAGGGTCAGTGTCAAGTGCAGGCCGCCCCGCCTCTGCCTCGCCAGCCCCCAATGCCAACACAGATGGCACCAAGACCAGCAGGAGCTCCGTGGACACCACGCCATCCGTCATTCAGCATGTGGGGCAGCCCCCAACCACGCCTGCCAAGCACAGTGGCAGTACCAGCAGCAAGGGCACCAAAGCCAGCAACCCAGAGCAGAGTTTCAAAGCAAATGAGAATGGCCTCCCACCAAGCTCAATATTTCTGTCTCCAAATGAGGCATTCAGGTCCCCACCAATTCCCTACCCCAGGAGTTACCTCCCTTACCCAGCGCCTGAGGGCATCGCCATAAGTCCCCTCTCTTTACATGGCAAAGGACCTGTCTACCCTCACCCAGTGTTGTTACCCAATGGCAGTCTGTTTCCTGGGCACCTTGCCCCAAAGCCTGGCCTACCCTATGGGCTGCCCACGGGCCGGCCAGAGTTTGTGACCTACCAAGACGCCCTGGGGTTGGGCATGGTGCATCCCATGTTGATTCCACACACGCCCATAGAGATCACTAAAGAGGAGAAACCAGAGAGGCGGTCCCGGTCCCACGAGAGAGCCCGCTACGAGGACCCCACCCTCCGCAATCGGTTTTCTGAGATGCTGGAAGCTAGCAGCACCAAGTTACACCCAGAAGTCCCTGCTGACAAGAACCTGAAGCCGAATCCCAGCTGGAATCAAGGGAAAACTGTTGTCAAAAGTGACAAGCTTGTCTACGTAGACCTTCTCCGAGATGAATCAGATAATAAAACTGAGGCTAGCGTGTCCAAATCCAGCTTCACCACTGAGGGTGTGGCCCAGAACGCTGAGTCTGCCAAGCCCCCAACAGACCCCACGCTGCAGCAACACCGAGATTTCGTCACTCACCGAGAGGAGTTGGGGCGCATCAGTGACTTCCACGAAGCTTACCCTTTCAAACAGCCTTCAGGCCAGCCAGTCTTCTGCTCGAGCAAGGACAGTGTCCCAGCAGGAGCCAACAAAGAGAACCTAGGGGTGCCAGTGGCAACTCCTTTCCTGGAGCAAACTATGGGGAGCGATGGCCCCGCTGGAACTTTTGGTAAAACCCAAGAGGATCCCAAACCATTTTGTGTGGGCGGTGCCCCTCCGAGTGTGGACATCTCCCCCACCTATACCAAAGATGGAGCCGATGAGGCTGAATCAAATGATGGCAAAGTTCTGAAACCGAAGCCGTCTAAGCTGGCAAAGAGAATTGCAAACTCAGCGGGTTACGTGGGTGACCGATTCAAGTGTGTCACTACGGAACTGTATGCAGATTCCAGTCAGCTCAGCCGGGAGCAACGGGCATTGCAGGTGAGCCCCCGGCCAGAACTTCAGGGCCCTTCTGGGTGGTCAGCTTTGTAATATGCAAGGGGAGTGGGAGGGGGCACGGGCAGGGCACCAGGCAGATTTGGTTAATGACATTTATGGTAACTTGAGTGTATGAAATGTGCTCAGTGAGGGGATGAGAGTGGTAGCTCTTAAGCGGTTTGTGTGTCTGGATACTTTAAGTTATTCTGTAGATTCTAAGAGAACTCCACTGGAATGCTGATAACAAGTTTTAATTATTATGAAGGATGTCCAAAGACTGCATGACATTTACCTATCAATTGCTTTGATTTCTCTGCCTGTAAGATAACAAATACATAGAGAAGCACTGCTTAGAATGTCTTACTTGGTACTTGGTGGAGATGTGTAGCAGCAGTATGTCTGTGGGAATCGCAGTTTTTTCACCAAAAAGAAAGAAAAAGATCGCTTAAAGGGATAGCATTTGTATTTAATTTGCTAGTGAATTATGATAGATGTTGTATAGGAATTTCCTTAAGATATTTTACTTTTAATTAAAAGATGAATAAAGCCAAATTGTTTTGCAATGTTAAGAAAAAAATTGGTTTATGCTTATAAAAATGGATGAAGTTATCTAAATGATCCATTGAGTGCCCATTTTAATTACATAGATGGAAGGATTACAAGAGGACAGTATTTTATGTCTACCCGCTGCTTACTGTGAGGTCAGTTCTTCAAATTTTTATTACTAGAATCTTACATAAACCTTTTGAGTTAAATTTCATTTCCAAATATACAAAGGGAAGTTTGTGGGCCATGGTCGTCTTTATTCATTGTGCATTTTGTTTCTCTTCTGTTGTGTTTTTCTTTTGTTTTCTTTGCATTGTGTTTTTGTTTTGTTTTATTTACCTTCAAAAGAGAATGTCTGTCTTTATGCACCAGTGTATGTATGGCTATACATACACACCGCATCTATATCTATATACATACAACTTTATGGATAAAGAATGTGTGGCTACTTCCATATAGTAGATACTCTTAAATTTTATCTGTTAAACTTTAAAATATCTGAGTTGTATCTCATAAATTGTGGTTGGTTTTGGGCAAACTTTTCTTTAAAAATACTTTCCTTTAGTGTAAGGCACATGGAATAGCTTTTATGGTAAGGTGTTGTGTTTTTTTTTCCATCTCCGTTCTCTTTCTAGCGTGCAATGATGCGCTTCTCAGAGTTGGAGATGAAAGAGAGAGAAGGTGGCCACCCAGCAACCAAAGACTCCGAGGTGTGCAAATTCAACCCAGCTGACTGGGAAAGGTTGAAAGGAAATCAGGACAAAAAGCCAAAGTCGGTCGCCCTGGAGGAGGCCATTGCTGACCAGAATGACAGTGAGAGATGTAAGTAACCCCAGCAGCTAGCTGTGGTGCCTGCCCACCAGTGAGATTGGGACCACCTTGTTCTCAGTGCCCAAGGCGGCGAGAGGAAATGATTTGGGAAAGATGGCCTAGGGTCCGTTGGCAACTACTTAGAGAAATGGGCTGCTCTCGCCAGTGTGGGTAAAGGGTAGGGCTGAGTCCTTTTGAATGTTGTGGCAGGCAGAATGGGGCATCTGTGAAAGAGCTCTCTCCTTGGACACGTCTCCTTTTGTAAAGAGGCACCAGTCCCATCCCTAGTACTGGTGGCAGAGGTATCGAGCGGGCCACATGTGGGAAGGATAGTCCTTCCCAGCCATCTCCACAGTGCCAGTCGGATAGGAATGGGGAGAGTACTTGTTTGATGATTGACATGGGATGAAGGATGATGAAGGCACTGTCAAGATGAGTGCAGTCATTTACTGGGTCTGGTTCATTTGCCATGCTTGGGAGTTGGCAACAAGATCCAAGAAGGTGTTGAATGTATCAGAGGGCTCTGCCCACCAGATGGAGGGTGGCTTGTGTCCTGGAAGGAAGCAAGTGCCATCCTCAGGACACTGCAGTTCCCACAGAAGGTCCCCCACTGGGGTTGAGTTTGGCGGCAGCAATGGGAGAAGGCCTTGCTCATCATTCCTCAGTGTGCGTGTCTTTGGCCTGCGGCCTGTGGCCTGCTCTAGACCTCAGAAACTTCACTGGTGAAGGTGAACTGGGGTGTCAGTGAACGTGGAGGAGAGTGGGCGCCAAACCCTCCCTGGACAGGTCGGTTATTAGCATTGGCTTGGTGTCACCAGTGGAGTGCTGGGTGCCTGGTGAGTCTTTGAGAGGATGTGTGGTCAGGCTGGCTGCCTCTGGCCGCCCAGAACACACCCTTCCTCCCCACCTCCCACTCATCCTGAGCTAAACTGGGACTGGTTTATTATTAGGCCCGAAGAAGATAGTTTATACTGCTAGTAGATGGTGACTTACTTGAGCAGCAGGGACTCTTGATGGACCTTACAGGCCACCATGCAGGATGGATTTGGGGCATTGCACAGTCGAATGGCCAAAGCCTTTCTCCTGTCTGATGCTGAAGCAGACCCTAACCCTAACTCACCTTTGGAGTTGCCCCATAACACTGGCTCTGGGGAAGGTTTCTCAGACCTGAGATGTGGGCAAGGTGGAATTGAAGGGAAGGTTCTTCTACAAGGGGGGAACTGCCCACAAATGGGAAACCCCACATACACCCTTTGCTCTGAGTGGGTGTGTGTAGGGGGATGGGAACGTAGCCACTTTCAAGGTTTTTGGACCTTTGTCTCTTTCTTGAGTAACATGGCCAGACCCGGGGTATCTGCTGCCCTCAGATTCACATCTGAGTGCCCTCACCGCCAACTGCTTCCCAGAGAGGCTCGTGCCCTTCCCATCCTGCTGAGCCGAGAGGAGTTGGTTGTAGCTTGGGGGCAGTAGGGCCCACTGAGGCCTAGATGATCCCAGAAGGCCTCCTGCACCTCTCCCTGGCCCTCCTAGCTTCAGACAATGGCTGCTTCTGGAGCACCCTGGAACAGGGCTCTAGTGCTCTTCCGTGGCAGAGAAGGGGTAGGGACTGGGGGGGTTGAGGGGGTCCAGTTTTTGAAGGACCCTCTGGGGCCTCGGGGTTCTGGTTGACTAAGAGGAATACCCTAAAGGAGTTGTTATCTTTGCTGCTGCCACTGCGACCTCGCCTAGGGGACAGCAATTGTTGGATCCATTCAGCTTCAGATTCGCTGGGTCATCTTGGCCATCAGGGCCCAGCTTTGCTTGTTCTCTTCAGGTCTTTTCACAGGTGTCACAGTGGGGGACAGTCAAGCTGTGTGCACAGGGCAGCTGAGCTGGGCAGGGTCACAGCAAGGGTATCTTCCCTTTCTGAGGTAGCTCTCCACTCCCAGAAGTTCCTGGGGCTGGGGAGACACAGGTGCGTCTTGTTGGGAGGGACTTGTGTAAAAAGCATGAATGCAGTCGAGAGTACTGTGGCTGGAGTGTTCATTTCTCTTGTATGGGTGGTCGAGTCAAAATGTCCACTGTGGAAAGGGAGCAAATGAGCCAGGAGGCACCGCACCTTTGAAAGTTCATTGGTGGGAACCATCCATCGGTGGCATTTTGAAGGTGGGGAGGGACAAGGAGGTATTGGCCTTTTCTTTCTTGAGCATGTGTAGCCATCTGTGTCCGTTGCCAGCCACCTGGCCAGGAAGAGACCTAGAACCTGCTTGGTGATTCCTGAGTAGGAGCTGGAGTGGAGCCCAGGGGCTGCAGACTCGGGTTCCTGACTTACTTAGGAAACCCCTCCCCTGGGAGGGCACCAGCACACTTTGGAGTAGAGATGCCAGGACCTCATCTGCAGAGGTCCTAAGTAACAAGGTCAGCCTCTCCTGCACATGGTAGTGCTACCTACAGAGGGAACTGACATCTTGGGAATCAGTTCTCAAAAGTCTGTCAGACTAGCATGGTGTGGTACGCACCTCAGATCCCAGCCACTGTGGAAGCTGAGGCAAGAGGATCACAAGACAAGCCTGGGCAACTTAGCTAGACCTTGTCTCCAAATTAAAAAATAGAAAGAGCTGAGGGTGTGACTCAGTGGCAGAGCACTTGCCTACTATGCATGTCAAGGTCTTGGGTTCAATCCCCAGCACCCCTCCTCCAGTGGTCTCAAACTTCCATGTTGTTTAGGGCACACTGGGCGTGGCTGCAATAGTGATGAAGTTGCTTTGTTGCTACAGTGACCTGTAAATGTTACCATGGTGATGCTTCTAAGAGGTAGTGCTATGGCACAACCATGATAAATTATGGGATGTTCGTGTTGCAGAGAGCAAGTGTTAAACCACCAACAACACAGCCACATCCACATCTACCTAGATGGTGTGACCAGAGGCACGTGTGCTCCAAATTTAGAAGGCCCGGGCGGTGTAACAGCAGTGATGGAGCGTCTTGGTCAGGAACCCTATCTCTCCACCCCTTTCCTTTGCGCTGGAGGGTAACCTGTGGGTAACAGCTGGACTAGCCTCATTGGAGGAGGTCCAAGTGTGCAGGCAGTTAGGGTGGGTATTCTTCAGGATTATTACTGGCTCATGGAAGGTAACTCTAGTGTAAGGGCTTGAGTGGTCTTCACTGAAGAGAATTGGATATTGTACCCAGAGAGACTTGGGTGTGGGGGAAGGAGGATGGACTCAGTTTGAGAAGCGTTGAGAACCGAGGAGAAAGCAGCTACACCTTGGGGAGGGGGGCACAGGTGGGATTTCAGTGAACCCCAGGTTGAGCAGTGGAGGGTCCCTGATTGTGGTTCAGGATGGGAGACAGCAGGCATTGCTCTCTGGAGTCCATCAGAATGAGGCTGGAGGGGACTGGCTGTGGGCTGGACAGGAGCAGGCTCCCTATCCTCACCCACCAGCACCCCTGTGAATGGGAGGGGGCAGGAAGTGGTGGGAACTGGAGCCCTTCCTACCCCACACGGGAAACCCCGGAAGACACACAGATAGCAAGACAAATACCCTCGTCTCATCAGGGCGTTCCCTGTTCAGTCAGGAGCAGGGAGATGGGTCCCCTCGGTCACCACCTACTGATGCCAGCCAGTGAAATAAGTGATCTCAGGTTGGCTAGGTGGTTTCTATAGGCAGAAGATAGTGGCAGCTTTGGCAGAAGGTCAGGTAGGTAAGATATAAACTCATTTACTATTAGGAATTTGGCAGAGAGGCTGAAAACTGGTGGAAAACCTCCCAGAGAAAGATGCTTCTGAGAAGGATGAGACTATTACAAATGCAGGTGGCTTCATGAGACCTGGGTTTGAGTGTAAGCTGAGGAAGTGAAATCTAAAGTGCTCTGGATTGAGAGAGTATTACTGGTAGGGGTGCAGGGCAGTGCAGTGCATTCTGGGTGGGACTCCACACTGGCTAGGCTGCTGCCTAGGAACCCTGGGGAGGGCACTGTGACTTTAGTCAACTCTCCTTTCAAGCCACCTGGTTTGAACCATCTTCCCTGTGAAAGGGTAGAGGGAAGAGAGTATACTTCTAGAAGTTTAAAATGCTGGAGATGCAGCTGGGTGTGGCAGTGACAGAGCAGGCCTGTAATCCCAGTACTCTGGGAGGCTGAGGCAGGAGGATGGCATGTTTGAGCCTAGCTTGGACAATTTAGCAACTTACTGTGACTCTGTCTCAAAATAAAACATACAAAAGGGCCAGCGTGTAGCTCAGTGCAAAGGCCCTGGGTTCAATACCCAGCACCGAAAAATACAAAGAAACCCTGGAGCTAAATTCCAGCTGGTCTGAGTGTCATAGCATCCTCCATACATCATTTATCTTGCCATTCCCTTTTCCCTGTTCTGCCTGAGTTGAACACCCCCACCCCTAGCGGCTGGCTGTAATAGTCCCACTTTAAAGCCCAAGGGTCCCAGAGCAGCATGAGATCCCACAACCCGCCCTCTCATCTTCCCTGCCAAGCCAAGCATGGTGATCATCCCGTCTGCAGCCTTGTAAGCTCCGACCAGAGGTCTGGGCAACCTGCCTGTCTTCTGGCTGCTACCCAGCTTTGTAGTCGAGCTCTGCTGTGACGGGAGGCTCACTGTGGCCATCCTGGGGTAAGGTGTACTCACAAAGACCTGCAGTGCTACTTATTCCCTGGAGCGCCTGGCTGCTGCATCCTGGGCTCCTCTCCCCTGACCATACGGTGCACCCTCGTGGGGAGCAGTGGTTGGGGGAGGTGCTGCCGTTCCTCTGCTAGAGGAGATGTGGTCCCATGTGGACCACCTTGGGGCTCCCTTGAAGAGGAGGTTGAGTGGGTCCTTTTGCCATCAAGAGCACGGCCGAGCTGAAGCCAAGGTGAGCCTCGCCCTGCAGCTGACTGCCACTGAATGCTGGGAATGCCCCCAGAGAAGCCGATGAGGCGCAGCCAGGCCCTTGGGAAGTAGGAGTGGTATTTGAAATGGGCCAAGGAAGAGAGGGATGAGATCAACCGCATGCTTATCATTTCATCTAGAAACTAACTTCTACAGCTCAGCTCAGTACTACCGAGACACCAGACTCACACCCTTGGGGATGTGCAGGGTCATTTTAGTGGGCCAAGGATGAACATCTTAACCTTATTACGTAGTTAGCATATATATTTTATTTCATATTGGAAAATACAGTAGTGGAGCAGTCACAGTCAATGAGCTATTTCTTGGGCTTGAGCAAAAGTAGGAGGTGGCGTTGGGCTAAGGTGATTCCAGGGAAAATCCCCTGTACCCTAGCCGGTTGATAGAAGGCCAAGTAAGTATGGGGAGCAGAAGCAGCCCAGGGGGCTGGAATGGGCAGTTTTGCAAGTGCTGGCCTGGCTAGGAAAGATACACGGGGCTATAAAAAGCGATGGAGTTTTGTCTTAGATGCTTGTGTGTGAGAAGGAGGTGTGCCTGACAGGATAACCGGAATGTCCTTGGGGGCCCCCCTAACTTGGGACAGGAAGTGGGAGCAGCCCCTTGATTCAGTGATGGGCATTTCCTTGTTCAAGCATCAGCTTGAGCCTTCGAAGCTTCTGTTCTAGTGCATGTGTTGGGAGCCCTTGCCCTGGCTGTACAGACCCCCTCTCCCAGCTTCCTCCTGCCATTGAGCATCTAGGCCTTCTTTTGTCAGCACTGCTTCTGGTCCCTCTTTCTTCATCATCTCCCATTGACCCAAGTGAGCATTGGTGTCATCCCTTCTGTAGAAGACATTTGAAGGGGAATATTTGGTCTCTTTACCCTTTCCTTGTATTTCCAAATAGTGATCTCAGCAAACATTCCCAGAGAGATTTGTGATCCACCCTGGCTGGGTTGGTCTCGCTGCTGAGAGAGGCAAGAGCGCTTTTGAGGACTGAGGATGCAGCTCTGTGGTAGCGGGCTTGCGTAACGTATGTGAGCCCTGGGTTCAATCCCCAGTGCTGTCAAAAAGAGTGCTTTCAGAGCAGTGGTTAGAGATGGTGCCACCCCTCCTTTCTCGGCGCTCTCATACCCCCACTGCAAAGCAAAGAGAAGGCAGGAGTATGGCATAGGCCTCACTCTCCAGAGCTAGCCGATGTTGTCAGTTGTGTCCTTTTCTTGGACAGCACTGCTTCCCAGGCCTCTGTGCTTCTGAAGTGAGAGGACCCCTGTCTCCTGAGAAGGGTCTGTTTTGGGTGTGGTGGTCCCACTTGCTCCCAGAATCTGCCTTCTTGTGGTGACCTTGGACCTTCAATTCTGTATTCTTGTCTCCCCTCCCTGTAGGCGAGTACAGTGCTGGAAACAAACATGATCCCTTTGAAGCCCCAGAGGAGAAAGATCTTCCTGTGGAGAAGTACTTCGTGGAGCGGCAGCCTGCGAGCGAGCCGCCCGCCGAGCAGGAGGCGGCTGCAGACATGCTGTACAGCCCCACCCTCCGGCTGGACAGGAAGCGCAAAGTCTCAGGTGACAGCAGCCACACTGAGACCACTGTGGAAGAGCTACCAGAGGATCCTCTGCTGAAAGCCAAGCGAAGACGGGTCTCTAAAGGTGAGCCTGGCTGGCTTCAGCTGCCTGCTCGGGAGGCCTGTGCATGCGGCCTGGCGGACAGACAGGAGGTGTGGATGTGAGGCGCGCTGCCCTGTAGACAGGCTTGGGAGGGAGCAGCGGGCACAGCAGCAGAGCTTTGCCATTCCCACACACCCCCACCCCAGATCCCTCCCCAGAGCCTCGGGAAGTTGCTCCCACCTCCCTCCTCCCAGAGCCGGATGTAGGCACTGAGGCCAGAGATGGCCAAAGGCAAACAGGTGACCTGCGCCAGCAGAGACAGCGACCGCACCCCTTCCTTCCCCTACCCCATTAGTGTTGTGTGAGACAGTTTGTTCTCCCCACCCCCAGGGGGCTTTTTGATTAATTTGTAGTTATTTCTCCATTAGATGACTGGCCTGAGAGGGAAATGACAAACAGTTCCTCTAACCACTTAGAAGACCCACATTATAGTGAGCTGACCAACCTGAAGGTGTGCATTGAATTAACAGGGCTCCATCCTAAAAAACAACGCCACTTGCTGCACCTTAGAGAACGGTGGGAGCAGCAGGTGTCAGCCGCAGAGAGCAAACCTGGCCGCCAAAGCAGGAAGGAAGTGGCCCAGGCAGTTCAGCCTGAGGTCACAGCCCAGGGGAATAACACTACTGAGGAGAAAGCCACCAGCAGGAAAAAGGCAGAGTCCAAAGGCAACAGAGGCTGGTCAGAAGAGTCCTTCAAATCCAGTGACAATGAACAAGGTACGCAGAGGCTGCCCCTTGGCTGCCCACTGGGCTCCTGGAGACCTGGGCCACAGAAGTAGGATGTGGCAGGCATAGTTCTCATGCTGTCTTTGCACACTCCCTTGCCTGTGCCCTCCCCACTTCCTTCCTCCTTCCAGCCCAGACTGTCTCTGGTCACCTAGTCCACCCCGTCCCAGTAGGTAGGGGCAGGAGAGCAGGGGAGCTGGCTTCGGTCCTCCAGCACTGGCTCTTTCAATCAAGAAACTTACCACTTGGCATTTTGTGGGTTAACCTATTTGCCGTTTGAATGTGGGATAATTAAAATATTAATGCTTTGAAAACATAATTGGTATATCTTTAAAAACTGAAGCAGCTCCAGTGATCAGGGCTAACAATGGGCTTTTCTTCCTGCACTGGCTACAACTGTGTAACGCCTGCTCTGTCTCCCCCTCCCGCGCCCCCCCCCCACCGGATTTAGGCTTGCCTGTGTTCGCCGGCTCTCCGCCCATGAAGAGCCTTTCATCCACCAATGCAAGCGGCAAAAAGCAGACTCAGCCAAGCTGCACGCCAGCCTCAAGGCAGCCTGCCAAACAGCAGAAAATTAAAGAAAGCCAGAAGACAGATGTGCTGTGCACAGACGAGGAAGAGGACTGCCAGGCTGCCTCCTTGCCGCAGAAATACACTGACAGCAGCGAGAAGCCATCCGGGAAGAGACTGTGCAAAACCAAGCACTTGTTACCTCAGGAGCCCAGGCGCAGCTTGTCGCTGACAGGGGACTACTATGTGGAGAACACTGACGGCAAGGTACCTCCTGACCCTGCATCCCCATGGGGCTGCTTCCCAAACCCAAAGCTCTCCTTTTCCTGGATCCCCCCACGTGCCAGTCCTGTCCTTTCTTGAGGTGCATGTTTGAAAGTTTCAAACTAGTAAGAATGAGACCCCTTCCCCTCACTGTTTGACAGCCCCCCCCCCAAAGTGTCACTTAGGAAGGAGGGAAAGAGGAGACTGGTGTCAGAGGGGACAGCCTCAACTGTGGTGTACTGCCTGATCTGACAGGTAACTGTCCGGAGATTCCGAAAGCGGCCTGAGCCCATTTCGGACTACGATCTGTCACCGGCCAAGCAGGAGCCAAAGCCCTTCGACCGCTTACAGCAGTTGGTACCAGCCTCCCAGTCCACGCAGCTGCCACAGGCAAATTCCCCTCAAGAGGCTACCCAGTCCCGCCCCATGCCACCCGAAGCCCGGAGACTTATTGTCAATAAGAACGCTGGTGAGACCTTACTGCAGCGAGCGGCCCGGCTCGGCTACGAGGTGAGTGTCCTTGTGGGCTGTGCACTTGCAGTTCTGAGGCTGCCAGAGCTGCCAGCCACCCTTGGAGGCTGGGGGGTGGGGGGGGGCGCTAGTTGGGGCTCCGAGAGCAGAGCCTGTCCCTGCTGTGGCTGCTGTCTCTGGTGGCTCATTCAGTGTTCAGCCTCAGTACAAAAAGAAAGGCCTCTCTGGTGGTGTTCAGTTCATGTCAGGGCAGGTAGGCTGTTCTGGCCTCCTCCAGTCTCGCTCACTTATCTCTGATAGAAAGTCTGGCTTAACCCAGGGCTCAGCAGCTGGGGGAATTTTAATGAGTCCACTTGGATTCTGATTAGCAAGGGAGAGAGAAGCAACCAGCGCTATTTTGGCATGTTTGTGGTATTGCAGGTGGAGGGGTGGGGTGGGACTACTGGGGTGCTCTTGCTGAGAGAGGGGAAGGTAGCTCCCCAGCTTTGCATGGTCCCCATAGCTCACACTGAATGCTGGGCAATGCACCTTTTCTAAGCCACATGATCCAGAGTAACTCATTTCACCCTTCTGTATGTGGTAGTAACTGGTATCATCCTGCTTTCAGATGAAGAAACTGAGTCTGGGGGGGTTAAATGACTTGGATATATGATGCACCAAAAAGACTCTCCAAAGCCCAGCCTCCCCAGCTCCCCCCAGGACTGGGGCCCATTAGAGTGGCTCTTCTTCCAGTTCAAACCCTCTGCCCGTGTGACCCCACCGCACACTTGGTGCTTGGAATTGTGATGAAATAACCCTCGGAACTAAGGCATGCTTTATGCTGGCATCAGCCCTCTGGGGGCTGGATGGTGAGAATGAAATGCAGTTCAGCATGCTCAGCATGGAGCCCTGAAGGAACATGAGGTGGCAGGCACACTGGCTTCCACACCCTGACCCTGCTGCTGCCACTGGGCCTTGAGCCCATCCAGGTGGGGATACCCAGCCACCAGTCTCCCCTTGAGCCAGAACCCACCCACCATGGCCACGTGGGTCTAAGGTTGGATGCTGGCTCTCATCTCTGGGACAGTTATTTAAAGCACTAACAAGGTGTTTCGGGTGGTATGTGCCATGGTTTGAAGCATGTCTCTTGGGGGCTCTCTGGAATATCTTGGAGAGAAGTCTCTGGAAGGCTTTGGTAATTAGCTTGCTTACCTGTGAATTGACTCAGCCATTGGCTTCCCACAACCTTCAAGGGGCAGCACTGGGAGGACAGGGGAGATGCAGCTACCCAGGGCTCCCTGCTACTGACTGAGGACTTGCGCTTCCAGTAAGCGGCTCCCTCCTTGGGGTGTGGGGAGATGGGCTTCTGGCCTGGCCTTGGGTCTTGGTGTCATGTCTGCCAGTCTCATCCCTTTGTGACCAGGAACGTTAGAAGACCCTTATGGGTCCTCTTTGGAACAGTTTTCCTACAGTCAGTGGGTCTGAGGCGTGGACCAAGGCGCAGATGATCCATACTTTTTAGGCTGTCAGGCCTGTCATGGCCTCATGAAATTTTTTTTTTTTTTTTTTTGTACTGGGGATCGAACTCCAGTCCTTGCACTTGCGCAGCAGGCAGCAAAACCACTAAGCTAAATCCCTGGCCCTTGGCCTCACGACTTTTTACATAGGGACAACCCTTTTCTTCCCTTCAAACGTAAATTTCAGTATGTAAATTTCACCAGTCACTAAGTTTGGTGTTTTAACTACTAGATAAAAATTTTCACTGGGAATCCATCTTTCTGGGATTTCTTCAAGCAGAATGCAAAATGTTGGGATGATGAGCCTTTCAGACGTGGCAGTTGCAAACTTGTAAAGTGGACACTTCGCTTATCCCTGGTAAGGTGCCAGGTGCCAGGTGCCGTTTGAATGCACAGCTTTGGGCGAGTTTTCTAAAGTCAGTCTTTGCCCTCGTTTCCTGCTACAGTAAAGATACCACATGCAGTCGAAAGGCTGTTTGAGCTTTTTTGTGTGCTAACCTGGTTCTTGAGGTGTAGAAACATCCCCTCTCTTCAGATCGGTCTTAAATAGACCGCCTGAAAGGCTTGGTACACTTGAACCTTCCCTCCTGCTAAGGAGGCTTCTGTTTCCGAGGCGAAAGTGCCAACGTGCAACCACATGCTTGTGCGTTTAGTGGTGATGGTTAAATTTTTCTATGAATTGAATAAATCATGTTTTTTAAAAAGTTAATGAGGCATTTAATTAATTAACAGTGTCGGGTTTATGGCCTTTATGGTTACATTTTGCAGTTAATGGCATTCGGCTTATAGCCACTTAACAGAATTGTCCAACAAAAACAGTTTGATTTTGTTTGGGAATGGGTGGGCTGTCCTTCAAACGATCCCGTTTCTAGCATAGAAAATCAATCAAGAAATGTGTCGGGTAGGTGTATTTGTCATCTTCGACATTCTATGTTGTTGGTGATGGCGGTCACCATATTTAAGCGTCGCCGACCCCACCCCAGCTAGGAGAATGTCACTGCCCCCACGTGACCTCAACAGAGAGTCAGTTTGGGGGACACTGCTCACAGCTGGATCTCGCCCCCTAGCTGGGGTCCTTGATTGGGTCTTTGAGTCTTCCCAGAGGACCAGGTACCAAAGACAGACCTGAGTGACAGGTCTAACACCCAGGCTAATTGAACCTGGCGTTAACCAGCCGCTGTGGACCTCACTTCCCCAAGCAAGCATTTCGTGAGAACACTACCATTTTCCTTCCTTCCCTCCTTCCTCCTCCAGCCACCAGGGAGATACACAGGGACCACTCTCCTGGGGGGTGGGCAGTGTTGAGTTGGGATGGACCATGGCTTCCAGTGGGTAGGCGGGCTGCTGTCACCTTTCCTGCCATCCTCCAGGAAAAGAGTTGACTTACCCTTCCACCTCCGTTTCTATGTTCTCTCAAATCAGCCCTAGTAGCGATGAAGGTTTCCAGGTGAAGGCCGTAATTGTCAGAACAAATAAACCCTGAGTCGAGAGGACACCAGGCAGGCCACCAGGATCCGAGTAAATTGATCTGTGCACAGCAGTTGGTGGCGCTCAGAGCTGATCCCAGAGTCACATGACCGGGCCTCTCTCTGGCTGGGGCACACTACTCATTAGCTTGCAGCCGTCCACTCTAGGCTGGCTAGTGAGGGCCTGCTAAAAGAGCAGCGGCTTCATGCGGTATCCTGGATACCAGAGCTCCGGGCAGGTGGCCTGGGAGCTCAGAGGATTGTGGGCTTTCTGGCAGGTTAGGACCTGAAGGAAGAAACGCTTTTGTGGGCATGCCTTTTCTCTTGCTGCCCTTGTTTTGGAAGGGAGCTAGCTGCTGCAGTAACCTGAAGCAACAGGGTATGGATGGGCAGGTTTACCAGTGTGCAGCCGAGGGTTCATGGCGGGGGGGGGGGCACGTGGAACATTCTAGTCAGCCCCAGGCAGATTCGTACCTCTCTCTGATCTGTCCCAGAAAGGGTACAGGTTGTTCAGACCCACCTCACATCTCTGGGTGGCCAGAATGAGGCCTGTTGTAGGTCTCACAGATGAGTTCTCAGAGAGTTAATGGAAAGGAAGGCCCACTGTGACCCACAGGGCACCCCCCCCCCTTTCCCAGGGGACCCTGTGTTCGGTTACTTGTATGCTCTGCAAAATCCCACCCCCTGTTGTTGGAGCCTGACCGCTCTCTACTGGGTCTGACTTGTAGAAAAACAGTGCAACCTGTTTTCTGGTGGCAGATACTATTCTATGTGTTTGAAAACTTTCTTAATCAAGGTAATAAAACATTGAATAAATTACTGCTCTGCTTACATGGGATGGTTCACTATTAATATTTTAACACACCAAAGAAGTAAGATTAATAACAGTGATTCTCACGCAGACTGTTGACACAGAACACATTCTGCAAAGGGGGAAAGAGAGACTTGCTTTATTTTGTGTCTGAAATGTGTAGGCTTACCATATGTGGTCTGTCAGATTCTCATCATTAACTTAGGTAAATATGAGAATATTATATTGATTCAGCCCCGAGTGGGGTGAAAAGTCAGGTGAAAAGGGGGTGGGGGAGAATTGGAGGCCCTTGTCATTTTTTGGTGACGATACTCAGAAAAGCCTGTCCCCTCTCTCTCCCTCTCCACCTCACCCCACCCCCACCCCCTTGTTTTTGCAAGTACTAGGTTTGAACCTAGGGCCTTGCGTGCTAGGCAAGTGCTCTATCACCAAGCTATATCCTCAGCTCATTGTATTTTTTATTTTGAGACAGGAGTTCCCTAAATTGCTAAGCCTGGCCTCGAACTTGGCAGGTAGCTGGGATAACAGACCTGTGCCTTCTCTGGAGCTCTGCTCACAGAGGTCTCACTGCTCTGGCTCGGCCTCTTAGTCTTTCCCAGAGACTTGAATCCCTGGCTGACCTCCTGAGTTGAAGGGTGTTCTCCCGCACATCCAGTCTCTTCCTCCACATGGGTCATCCTTCCATCCATCCAGGCTGTCATCTACTACTGCCTTGGGACACCCTGATCAAATGAGACTGCCTTGTACCTTGAAGATATCTGTCCTCCCTGTGCCAAGTTTTTGTGGCCCTCTCTGTTCTCACCTTCTTCACAGTCCTATGCAGGTACCACCACACTCCTCCAGAGAAAGAAATGGAGGCTTGGAGAAGCTGAAGCATAAGTGGCCCAGGGCCAGGCAGCTGGGGCTGCAAAGACAGGTTTCAGTCTGTCACCGGGTTGCAGAACCTGGGACACTGTCCACATTGCCGAGTCCTTCACACTCATTTGCCCCTCACCAAGGCATCCAACAAGCTACATAGGGTTCTCAGGCCTCAGGGCATGTGTCTTCAGCCTCTTTTGAAGAAGTTGTTTTTATGTGGTTGTTGAGTGCTGAGCCAATGGCGTTTCCCTGTCCCCTCCCCACAGGAAGTGGTCTTATACTGCCTGGAGAACAAGATTAGTGATGTCAATCATCGTGACAATGCAGGTTACTGTGCCCTACACGAGGCTTGTGCTAGGGGATGGCTCAACATCGTTCGACACCTCCTCGAGTATGGCGCTGATGTCAACTGCAGTGCCCAAGATGGAACCAGGTCAGTGGTGTGCCTTGCTCTTAGGCTGGCCCCGGTTGGGGTCCAGGCCATGGCTTGGGTATGTGGAAACCTCAGGAAGAATAGAGTAATCGAGTTGGTTCAGTTCTAGAATTGAGTCACAGACCTCTCTGGCAGATTTAGACATAGCACTCCCAATCTTGGCCCATCCTGCAGGTCTTCCGTGGACCAAAGCCTCTGAAAATGTCAAGAGCTGTATGAATGATCAGGGTGTTGCCTTTTAAGACCCTGGACTGTTTACCACCATCTATGAAATCACTATTTAAACTGCATGTGACTGAAAGGCCCTGGAGGATGGACAGAAGACCAACTGCTCCTCCCCTACTGGTTCTGCAGGCCCTGCTGTCACCACCCACACCCTAGGCCCAGGCCCCCACTCACCCTGACCTTGACCTAGTTTATTGGTCAGAGACCCAGGTCTGAGTCAGCACAGGCATCTTCTGGGGTGTGGAGGTGGGGCACTAGGGTTCTCCTGACAGTCAGAAACCCTGTGGGGTCTGTCACATGTTACAAACAGGACACCTTCAGGCACCCTCACCCCACCAGCCTGGCAGTGTGCATTCTGGTGTCAGGTGCTCCATGGAGTCTCTGCTAACCACATCTCTCCATACCTAGGTGAAAACAGAGGCAGCCCCTGCCCTGCCCCCACCTGCCATGGTATAATGGTTGCATGTTGTGTTGTTGCTTCCATAATGATGGGTTTTTTTTTTTAAGCCCCTGTAAGTTATCTTCACATGTTCTGAAACCATTTAAGTTCATTGAAAACATTTTCTTTTCTTTTCTTTCTTTCTTTCTTTCTTTCTTTTTTTTTTTTTTTTTGGTTTTTTGAGGCAGGGTCTCCCTTTGTAGTTCAGGCTGGCCCTGAACTCGCTGTGTAGCCCAGGTTGGCCTTGAACTCTCAGCGATCCTCCTGCCTCAGCCTCCTGAGTGCTGGGATCACAGGCATGCGCCACCACACCTGGCAAAACATTTTCATTTTATACTTGAGTTCCTCCTTAGGCCTACCATTAAGATAGACTTGCATTTGAGCATGAGACCTGAAATAAGTCTTTTCACTGGCCCTGTAAGGAGTTAGATGTTGAAATAACAGCATAACTCATTGCTTGACCTTGGACCAATCACGGTGCCCCGGTTTCCCTGTCTGCCACGGTAATGACATTGCACACGCACTGGACCCAGGAGGGTCAGCATCTGAGGGACATGTGCCTGCTTTTAGCCTGTCACGACGGAACAAGAGTGGGAGGTGAGGGTGACCTGCACAAGCTGAATGCATTCTGCCTCTTTACAGGCCTCTACATGATGCTGTAGAGAACGACCACTTGGAAATTGTCCGCTTGCTGCTTTCCTATGGTGCTGATCCTACTTTGGCTACATACTCAGGTAGAACCATCATGAAAATGACACACAGCGAGCTTATGGAAAAGTTTTTAACAGGTATGACAAAGTTCAAAGAATGACCTTACTCAAAAAGCTAGATTGGGGTTTGGGCTGGGGCTGGGGCTGAGGCTCAGAGGTAGAGTGCTTGCCTCTCGTGTGTGAGGGCTTGGGTTCCAGCATTGCAAAAGGAGTTAGATGATGACTAGATTCCTTAGAGTTGGATGTGACAGGGCACAAATCAAAAGGCTAGAGTTTTAAAATTGAACTCTTCATTCTAATTTTTAATAGATTTTGTAAAACTGCTTGTGTTTTCTACAAATGCAGTTTTCACTTAAAATGGCTCTTTAGTTTTACATTATGAGTCTGGTAAAATGACTCAAACCACCTATATATGAAATTATTTAGATTGCTTGGTAATTGGTCATAGGATGACCCATATTTTAAGCCCCAGGCATTATGAGCTCCCTAAAGCAGAAATACAGGGTTTTCACGAGTGTCGGGCACCTGCAGTTAAATTCCTTACTGGACATTTAGTGCCAAAGAATGCCTCTAATGTTTTGTGACTCACCCTTGTTTACCTTAAGTGACACTTACTGGGAGTAGCAACTTGAGTTTATCAAAGAAGAGATGCATAATAGAAAGCTACTTTACTTCTGCCTACGAAGGCTGAAAAGTTCTTAGCTTGCTAGTCCAGCTCCATTTTGGTGGACCAGGGTGGCCTGTCCCTCGGGAAGGCAGGTGGGCCGTGTTCAGTTTTGGTCAGATAATGCAGAGGACAGGGCTTCAGAGAATGGCACCAGTGATGTACAGGATGGGGAAGACAGGAACCGACACGCCAACCAGTCCTGAATAGGGAAGATGTCCCCTTACTCAGGTAGCCTTTTGTACTCGACAGTAGGTTTTATCTTGCTTCCTCTCCCCCCCCAATTCTCTGCAGATTATTTAAATGACCTACAGGGTCGCAGTGACGATGACTCCGGTGGCTCTTGGGAGTTCTATGGCAGCTCTGTGTGCGGTGAGCAGCATTGTTCTAAGTTCAGTGGGAAGCTAACGGGTTAGAACATTGTTTTCTGCTGTGCATGAGGGAGGCGGGTGGTAGGCACTAGAATCAGGACTCAGTTGGGAAAGAATCTTGTTATTTAGAGTCTTTCATTTTTTTTTTTTTTTTGACAGCTGAAATCTTGCTGTAGCTCACTGATTCCTCTCTCTTGTTTGCCCTACATTAGAGCCAGATGATGAAAGTGGATATGAGGTTTTAGCAAATCCCCCGGGACCAGAAGACCAGGATGATGACGATGACTCCTACAGCGATATGTTCGAATTTGAGTTTTCTGAAAGCCCCCTTTTGCCGTGTTATAACATCCAAGTGTCCGTCGCTCAAGGGTGAGTGTGGCTGTTGTGTGGTTGAAAACTAGTGGAGGGAGCTGTTCCTTGGGTGGCAGGGTTTAGAAAGCCCCTTGATGCCGATGGGGGTAGGCGAGAGAACTCTTACATGCCCACTAAACCCACCTAATGCAGTAGATCTTCTTCAGAACTGGTCCATACACATGAGCTTTACTGTACCCAGCAGGGTCAGGTGAGGCTTACGTCACCATGGAAGTCCGTGGCTGTCATTTCCCAGAACTCGGCATGTTGGATACTTCAGTCACCGAACACTGGGAAGGGGCCTTCTCGGGCATGACATGTGAGGTGTACTGAATTCCACACAAACACTTCTTGTGTGAGGATAGGACAGTCACCACATGTGATGTTTGGGATCTTTTTTTTTTTTGAAACAGTCTTACTATGTATGGCCTTAAACTCACTATGTAGCCCAGGCCCTGTGCTTGCTATGTGTTTAACAAAGGTGTTTAATGAGTTGCAAACATGTATACTATTATAAATAATAACAGAAATCATAACACATGACTGATTGTATCTAAGGAGTATAGCACCTTCCTTCTCTTTCTTTTGGTGTTTTGAGACAGGGTCCTTGAACTCACTGTGTGGCCCAGGCTGGCTTCAAACTTGAAGTGATCCTCTTGCCTCAGCCTCCTGTGTGCTGGGATCACAGGCCTGCACCACCACTCCCAGCTGCACCTTCCTCAAGTTTCACTATAGGCTGGGCACAGTGGCTCACACCTGCAATCCCAGCTACTCAGGATGCTCAGGCAGGAGGATCTCAGATTCAAAGCCAGACGGAGAAAATTGGGCAAAACCCTACCTCAAAATAAAATAAAATGGTTGGGATATATATAGCTCAGTGGTAGAGCACTCATCCAACATGCAGAAGGCCCTGGGTTCTATTATCCAGCACCACAAAAAAGGTGACCAATTGTTAAAACACGGTGCAGTGGTACAAGCTTGTTGTAATACCAGAACTCAAGAGGCTGAGGTGGGAGGGGGAGGTGCAGGGGATATAAAGCACTTGCCTAGCATGTGAGAGAGGCCCTGGGTTTAATCCCTAGTACTGTGCCCCAGCACGCACCTGTACTGCACCACCCCCCACCTCCATCACTAAGGAAAGGATTGATGGGAGGTGGTGGAAATTGGGAAAGGAAAGTTGCCCTTGTGTTCATGGTGCTCTGCCAGCGAGGCTCTGAGGAGAGGTGCAGGGTTGGGTTGTGGACTTGAGGCACAGACCAAGTCATGGCTGAAGCTGGGTGAGCAGGACTTTCCCCAGGTTTTCCACCCCAGTGGACCAGTCACATGGTCCTCCCCTCAGATGTACTCACCAAACAAAGCCAGCCGGGTCCAGGGCTCCTAGGCAGGGACAGTGGTCAGAGGAGGCAGGGTAGGGTTCAGACGGAAGGGAACCGGCCCACCTTGCTGCAAGGGACTAGTCCCGGAGTGCTAAGTAATAGCTGGGACTGCTTTTTGTTTTGCTGGGAACTCCAACCACTCGTCTTTCTGTTTTGTAGGCCGAGAAACTGGCTACTGCTCTCAGACGTGCTTAAAAAATTAAAAATGTCCTCCCGAATATTCCGCTGCAATTTTCCCAACGTGGAAATTGTCACCATCGCAGAGGCAGAGTTGTACCGGCAAGTTTCTGCAAGCCTCTTGTTCTCCTGCTCCAAAGACCTGGAGGCCTTCAACCCTGAAAGCAAGGAGCTGTTGGACCTGGTGGAGTTCACCAATGAGCTGCAGACACTGCTTGGCTCCTCGGTGGAGTGGCTGCATCCCAGCGACATGGTCTCAGATGACTACTGGTGAGCGCTGGAGCCACTGTACAGTGTGTTATAGTGTTAATCCTTGTGCATATGTGTCATAACACGACTATTTCTGTAAAGAAAGGACACTATTACATATGAAAAAATCTCTTCTTTATATAAGAGAAATTACTCCAGTCAGAAGGACTTAGAAACCTGTTCATTTCTTTTTAAACTTTTAAGTCAGTTTTTACGAACTTGTAATGTTTCTTTACTTTTTAATTCACACATGCTTTGAGATATGTATGTTTGTTTTTACTTGGAACATGTCTTTCTTTTCTGTTCATTTTTAAGGAGAAAAAAAGAAAAGGAGCTCCACACTTTGACTCAATTTCATACAAAGCTCTGGTGACAGAGGCCATAACTGTAATGTGTGGTCAGAAGCGTGTGGTTGGTTTGGGGGAGCGAATTCGGTGAAGGCACTTGGTGATGATGTAACTTTATGTTTTGTTTACAGAGTACCTGCTTGGGCCAGGTAGATGCTACTGGATGTAATCCAGTGGTGTGTAATATAAATTCAAACCATATCCACACACAACAACTAATTGTATGAAACTTTTATATCCTAATTTAAAAGCTGTGAAATTAGTTTCACGCATCAAACCGGATTGTTTATATGTTTAAACATTTTATGCTCTTATTTAAAGAAGACTGAGCTATTTTTTCCGTATCCTGTAAAATATTGAAAACTAACATAATATGTTGAGGTTGCTTGAAAATGTACATAAAACTAAAATTTTCTGAATTGTGTGTTTATGTTTGAAATCTGTGTTTTAACTTTGTAAGTAAATTCTCTGCCTTTGTATTTATATTTTACAAAAATTTTCTTAAAAGGCAATAAACCTGTTGAAGAAAGGAGAAAATTGAAGTGTCTTGTGTCCTATGTGTTCCCAAAGCATTATTGTTGTCACTGATTTAACTTCAGATATTATTTGCAGGCCCTATTCTAACAGCCCAGTTCTTGGACATGCATCTGTCCATCTCTGAAGTCTTTCTCTTCCCAGTCTCTTTCAGTGCTCTCTGGCAAGCTTTTCATTGCCTTTGCCCTTGACCTACTGCACTAACATAGCCAGCCCTGATTGTTAGCAGAGCTTTTCCTGAAAGCCCCTATTTGCAGTGTCACTTCTTGTCCTCTGGACCTCCTTGTGTTCTGTCACCTTTTTACCTGGCTTGGCCTCTTTGTCAACACCAAGAGCTTCAACCTCTCTTCCTTTTTCCAGAAGTATCTGCTTTGGGTGCTGTCACTTGGCACTTGATTGCTGTCCTACATCCTTTTAACATCTGGCCTTCACTGCAGAGGCTAAAAGCTGAAGACTGCTCGGCTCCCTTGCAGCTAGGTTCATGTGGGTGTGTCCAGCTGGAAAGGTAGCAGGAGGTGGAAGCATCTTCCCACCATCTCTGGTGCTGATGAGAGGCTAGGGTGCGTGTTTAGCATGCTCGAGGCCCCATGGTCCATCCCCACCACTGTGAAATATAAAGGGAAGGTAAGAGACCCCTGCCTGCTGGTGACAGCACCAGCATTTCAGCACCTGGCCTTCAGTTTTGTGGGTGATGAGATGCAACATGGCGGTGGTAGCCACAGTGGCAGCCTCCTAATTCTTGGATCACAGCTTCGGTAGATTGTTCTTGAACCCTGGAGCTCTAGAGTTGTTCCTGACTTCTTCCTCCAGCCCTTGAAAGACCACCTTGGCACCCAAGTCCTCTGTTATATCCATTTGTGCTCAGAATGCCCTGGGTGCTTTACCATCCTGCACTAAGCCAGGGCAGATTGGGGCAGGGTGGGGAGAGACCACAGGGCACATGAGGAGGGACCCAGTCTGGTCACATAACGCAGAGAGCCTTTTTTTGGAAATTGGGCACCAAATGACTTGGAATGTGTGCTGAAGTCAGAAGGCAACTGTTACAGTTTTTGATCTATTAGTTTTTCTGATTTAAAAAAATAGGCACTTCCACCATTAAAACCAAGCATTCCACAAATAGAATTCTTATCATCCTGTGCCAACACACCCTCCCCTGTTGCACAGTCAACCTTTGCTAATAGTTTGCTGAACTTTAGTTTTCTAGGAACTCACCCCAAACAAGAAGTAGGAGTGGAGAAATGAAAAAGGCAGATAGCAAGTCCAGCAGGACATCTGTGCAGAAGTTATTAAAGCACAAGCAGACTGGGGGGACCTGAGCTACTACAAGGGGCTCTTCACTAGGAATCAATTAAAGAGATGGCAAATCTGGGCATGGCACGTGCCTGTAATCCCAGCACTGGGAGGCTGAGGCAGGAGGATCACCACAAGTTCGAGGCCAGCCTGGGCTACATAGCGAGACCCTGTCTCAAAATACAAAAAAAGAAAGCAGAAGCTCAAGGGTGTTTGGCCCTGTGTATTTGGGCTGGAGGAAATAAAGAGGGTCCCAAGCCCACCTGAGGTTTCTATCTTGGGTGAACAATGGCTAGTCTCTTCTTTACTTTTGGTACTAGGAATTTGAATCCAGGACCCTTTTAAATTTGGGATGCGGGGGGAGACAGGGTCACACAAAGTCACTAAATTATCCAAGATGAGCTCGAACTTGATCCTCCTGCCTCAGCCTCCTAGAGGGCTAGGGTTACAGGTGTGTAGCCCCACACCTGGCTCATTCTGTTATTAAGCCGAAAAGGCAGGTGGGACCCCCCCACCACCCCAGCTTAGGAATGTGGGGGAAGTAAAGAGATGATGTAGATGTCTATGGATGAAGAGCTTGTAAGGCAGGACCTGTACTGCCAGAACCCTCTCCCAGTAGTTGGAAATCGGGCTATGGGAGAACTGAGGGGTGTGTTAGATGGCCAGGGCCAAGCAAAGTCAAAAAGCTCAATGCCCATGTCCAAGAAATCCCAGGGGGGATCCCCTGGAGTGGTGGTCGCAAGTCCAGACCCATTGGGCTGTGGGTGTGGCCCATCACCAGTGTGATGCCATCATGCAGGAGGTGAGGTCATTCTGGTGGGAGGCTGTCCAAGGTGAAACTCACCAGGGGTGTGAGTGCGCATGCACAGAGGAGACAGCAGAGACAGCTCGCTGGGGTGTGGCTCTACCACCCGGGCAAGGTGATCGTGGAAGATGGCATTACACTGGGTGTGTGCAGATCCATCCGTTAGAGTTGGAAGGACCCACCAAGGTTGTAGAAGAGGGCCCCCCAGGGGTACAGAGTGTGCCTTCTGTAGAGAGAGCCCCAGTAGGGATGTAAAGGAACTCCCTGTCGGTATAGATGGAGCTATATGGAGTTTAACTGGTGCAAAGGAGCTTGAGAGGGTGTGAAGAGAGCAGAAGTGGTTCATTCAACTTCTGAAGATGTGCCTGAGGGCCAAAGGCAAGTCCTTTGCCCAGTGCTATCTCCTTCTGGCTTGAATGGTTGTGACAGCTGTATAGCTAGAGCAGCCACCTTGGGCCTGGAGGTGTGGAGTTCAAGCCCTACACAACAGGAAGTTTGGAGGAGCCTGGGTCCCCGAGGACCCAGTGGAGCAGAGCCCATGTACCCACCCTGCCTACCTTTTACATTTCAGAAAAATAAACTATTATGTCAAAGCCACTATTCTTTTTAGTTTTTCTACTGTTCCAGCCAAATCAAATCTAATATGCTTCCCATCTGTGGGAAGTTGGGCAAATTGCTTATCCTCTCAGCCTCGTTTTTCTGTTTTGTCAAAATTGGCCTAATAGTTGTAATAGCGAAAGAGCAAGAGCACCCAATCTCCATTAGTGGGGCACTGGTTGAATTAACAATAAATATACAACTGTAGAAAGAATTGGAGAATAATTCTCTAAATTGCTTTGGAGCAATCTTCAGCGTATTATCCTTAAATGAAAAAAACAAAGTGAAGGGAAGTACACACAGTCAGAGTTAAAGCATACACCTCCTATCTACTTTACTTTTTTAAATGGTGAAGTTAACGGAGGGTTTGTTTTTTTCTTTTAAGTCACCCCTGAGGAAGAAGGGGAAGAGTTGTACAGTACAGTTGCGTTTGTTTGCTGCATTCAGGAGATTGAATCCAAAGCCTTTACACTCAGCTATATCTCCAGCCCCTTTTGTTTTTCAGACAGCAACTCAAAGTTCCCCAGGCTAGGCTCAAACTTGCCATCCTCCTGCCTCAAGCCTCCCAGAGTGCTAGGATTATAGGCCTGTGCCATTGGGCACGCCCAGCTCAGGGTACAGTTTTGACTTGAGAGTTTTCAGAATTGCAAACCAGAAGCAATTCCTATAAATTAAAAAGCGAAATTAAACAACTAAACATATATTCAGTTGATATCACAACCAGACAGAAAAGAACTATTTCAGTGACTTTAAGACAATAAATAAGCTGGGTGTGATGACGCAGGCTTGTAATTCCAGCACTCTGGGAGGCTGAGGCGAGAGGTTCACAAGTTTTGAGCTCAGCCTGGGCAACATAGGGAGATATTGTCTCAAAAATTTTTGAAAAAGGGCTAGGGATATAGCTCAGTGTGAAGGCCTTGGGTTCTGTCTCCAATCCTGTAAATAAGTAAATGTGGTAATCTCTTGTACCTGGCAAATATTTAGTCTTGTGGATGTACCCTAAGCACAGAAAGAACTGTAGGAACATTTTAAATTGTTGGGTTGGGGTTTTTTTGTTGTTTGGGTTTTTGGGGGGGGGGGTCTTGTTATTGCAGGGCTGAGGATTGAACCCAGGACCTTGCCCATGCTAGATGAACGCTTGACCACTGAGCTACATGCCCAGGCTTTTTATTTATTGATTTATATAAATAGGATCTCACGAAGTTGCCAGGGCTGGCCTTGAACTTGGAATCCTCCAGCCTCAGCCTCTGAAGTTGTGTTTAGTAATCCTATCTTTGGTGATAGTGCACTGTCCTTAGCTTGAGTTTCTCCTGTTGTGAGATAAAGGAAAATCATGTTGGTATCGACAGCTAGGATTTTTATCATGGGAGAAAGGATGTGAAAATACAGGATTGGTGAGATTAGACAAAAAGTTCTATGATTGAATCAGAAATATCCTTGCAAGAGCCGGGGTAGGGCTCTGTAGTGGAGCACTTTATCACACAAGGGGGCCCAAGTATTGTCCCCAACACCGCAAAAGAAGGGGGTAGAGATCACTATGAACTGGTATTTCATCCTAAAGAAGTTTCTGCTGGGGTGGGGATTTATTTAGCTCAGTGGTTCCATCGCCTACCTCGCAAGTGCAAGGTCCCAAGTTCAATCCCTGGTACCAAAAAAAAAAAAAAAGTTTCTGTTGGAAAAGCCTAGAAATGGACTGATAAGTACCACTAGACCTCTGACTGTGGTTTCTAAATACCCTTCCCCTCTAAAGAGAACAGGTTCCTTTATGAAATGGCTGGTTCCACTTTGCGTGGGGGAGTTCAGAAAGGGAGGTGGCATACGAAATAAGCCAGTGGGATTGTGCCTGAAAACTCAGCAGCCAACTTGAGAGGCACCCACAGGATCAACAGGGCCACTTTGCACAGTGACGAGGGTACCTGCAGTGAACTCGGAATCCTCCCGCCTCGGCCATCAAGCATGGTTCATTCCAAAGCCTGGCCTGGTGGTGTACGTCAGGAATCCCAGCACTGAAGAGGCTGAGGCAGGAGGATTGGGAATTTGAGGTCAGCCTGGGGTACACAGTGAGCTCAAGTCCAGCCTGGACTCCATAGCAAGGCCCACATCTCAAAAAAAAAAAAGTATTAACTGCATTTTTTTTTTTTTTGGTACCAGGGATCAAACTCGGTACCTTGCGCTTGCAAGGCAGGCGCTGGAACCACTGAACTAAATCCCTGACTATTAACTGCATTTTAAAAACTGAAAAGAAGGCTAAGATTTGGCTGGGTGGTAGAATGATTGGCATGTTCAAGGCCCCAATTCTGT